GGCGTTGACTACGCTGGACCGCAGGAAATTTTAATTAGTCGTTACCGTGGTGCGCGCAAGGTCCGCTGCTACTATGCGCTCTTCACATGCATGGTTACAAGAAGCGTGCATGTTGAAATTGCGACAGATTTATCGACCGATTCCTTTCTTCGCGCTTTTCGTCGTTTTATATCACGTCGAGGCAAAATTAATTCGCTATCAAATCAAATCAAATCAAATCAAAAAATTTTTATTCAACATAAATGAAAGTACATACTTGTTGAACGTCAAAAGAACTACCGCCAATTCACAAGAACTAGCCTCCGTCCTGAGAAGAATTGGCAAGAAACTCAGCGGGCATGTTTTTTTTTTTTTTTAATAAATTATTATTTATTAATTTTTTAATATTACATTATTTTTTTTAAATATGAGTTTTTTACAATGAGTATTATAACGTAACAATTACTACAATATTGAAATGCCCGGAGCGAGCAACTCATTCCCACTTTGTGCAATCTTCTAGATAATTATAATCATTGACTTTATAGTAAGCTTTATTGCACAGATGTTCTTTAACAGTTTTCTTAAACCTATGTATATGTAGGTTCTGAACATCTTGTGGGATTTTGTTGTACAGGCGCACAGACAAACACCCGAATGAATTTCGTATCTTATGTAACCTACTCATCGGCACAACAAGCCGATATTTTCCGATAACGGAACGAATTTCATAGGCGCCAAAGCCAAGCTCGATGAATTGAGCGAGTTTCTCAGGTCTAAAGCCTTCTGTAAAGCCTTTGAGCAGGAAACTCTCTATCAAGGCGTCAATTGGTCGCTGAACGTACCTACAGCTAGTCACATGGGGGGTAGCTGGGAGAGTATGATTCGAGTTTTCAAAATGCATCTACGCCGCACTATCGGAGACGTTCTTCTCACCTATGAGGAGTTGCTCACCGTCGTTACCCAGGTCGAAATGATTTTAAATAGTCATCCGTTAATTGCACAATTAAATTCTCATCCTGGAGAACCGGAACCTTTAACGCCTTCGCATTTTTTAACTCTCGGACCGCTAGACTCCTTTCATTCTGATCCGCGTTTAGATTCGGTAGATTTAGTTCGCAATAAACGACTTGTCGATGATATTGTTCAGAGATTCTGGAATCGCTGGAGGCGTGAGTACCTAAACACGCTTCAAACGCGCGCTAAATGGAACACCAAATCTAATCCGGTGACTAAAGGTACTGTTGTCCTTCTTAAAACAGAAAACTCACCGCCTTTACGATGGCCAATGGGCATAATTGAAAAAGTAATGCCTGCCTCGGACGGGGTCGTTAGAGTAGTCAGAGTGCGCACACAAAACGGCACCTATCTTCGACCTGTAGTAAAACTTTGTGTTTTACCTTCCCAATAACCTATTTTCTCATTTTTATTTTTAATTTATTTTTATCTCATTCTTTTTACTTAATACTTCACATCCTGCACTCATTAAGTACCATTTACACTTATTATTTGTACTTATTATGTACCACCGCACTACCCTGATTCCATCCGCTCTCTAGTTCACCCATAATCGCTACATTTATGTACTTCTCTCTCATTGTTCAGGAGCTACATCTCCTAAAGGCCGGGGGGATGGTTCTTTTTTAATGAGAGTAGACATAAAACCTCTCGCATGGCCACTTATAAAAAAGAAACATAAGAAGCAAACGTCAAAAATAAAAAAGAAGACTATCGCCGACCGCACCGCACGCGCTGTACACGCACACGCCGCTTTATTTTTTCACATAAATATTTTCATGGACTCTAATTAATTCTCTATTATACAAACTCTT